CATTTTACTAATTTTCTTATCACAAGCACCTGGCACACAGTAGATAGTTAATAAATGTTTACATAAATGAAAGAATGAATTCATAGTCATTATGGGTCTACCATTTTTCCCACTGTTCCCTTCCAGTATGGTTCCCTATTTGATCATCAAAAGGCTTAAAGGCATTATACGTGTGTACGTTCGTATGTACATACGTACATACGTACATACATACATACATACATATTCCTTAATGTAGTTGGTGATAGAGGTAGGAGGCTAGGCTTATGATGTCTTTCGAGATGACATGGCTATTGATGCTTGGGCTGGACAAAAGCCTTTCTAAGATGCTTGAGCACAAGAGTGCCTACCTTTTATTACCACAGCTGCCATTAGAAAAAAAAGTTATTTTGGACATTTCAAGTTTAACTGATTGTTACTAGAGTCTCATTGTGTATGAACTGTTACTTAGCAAATTTCTAAGGTTTTAAAAATTATTTTCTATATCTTTAGTTTATTTACTTTGTTCATCTTATGTAGCAAAGGTCATTCTAATTGATTGGAGTAACTTATGGCACCTGAGACATTTAATAGACAATTCATAAGCCAGTTTTTCTTTTGTGAAAGATGTAAAGGTTGATTCTGTTATAAAAGTACATACCTTTCTTCTAGATTACTGCCTTAAATTGCACCTAGAAAGAAATTGGTAGGTAGTTGATAGTACAAATCAATGATAGAATAGCCTTGATGGGGTACTACTGTTAAATAAAACATAACGTAAGTGGTTCACATTGTACCACATTGAAAATATAAACTTAAAGCAGTGTGAATGAAACACAACATTTCCATGTAACATGGTGCTATTCCAGTCCTTATCCCCAGGTTTTGTGTATGTAGCTAAATGGGTAATTATAAGTCAGCCATTTTTTCAAAATTATATTCAGTGTCTCTTTTGTTCTCTATGATAGAGTATTATTCATTTTTGTTTAGTGATTGAATTTTTATATTTTGTAACTGTAGGAGCAGTTGTAAGGTTGGAGAATTTGCTAGACCTTCCTTCCATAATCTGTGTTATAGAAATTTGGAAGCAATTTATTTTCATCTTTATTCAGGCATAAGTGACGTACAATAAACCATGCATATTAAAGTGTACAATTTGAGTTTTGACATATGTAAAACCTGTGAAAACATCATTGCAATTTAGATAATGCTCATTTCTATCACTCTCCCCTACCCAAATTTCTTCTTGCCCCTTTGTATTTCATCCCCCCTCAATCCCCCTCCCCTATCCCCTTTCCTCAGGTACCCACTGATCTGCTTTCTGTCACTGTAGATCAGTCTGCATTTTCTAGTATTCTTTTATAAATGGAATCATATAGTGAGTATTCTTTTTTTCTCTGGCTTATTTCAGCATAATTATTTTGCGATTATCCAAGTTGTTGCTTGTGTTAATAGTTCTTTTCTTGTTATTACTGAGTAATATTCCATTATATATACTATAGTTACACTGTACTACAATTTGTTTATTCATTTACATGTTGATGGACATTTGAGAATGTCCTATTATAAATCTTGTATGAATATTTGTGTACAAGTCTTTGTGTGGACATAGATATTTATTTCTCTTGAGTAAATACCTAGGAATGAAGCGGGTGGGTGTAAGTTTAACTTTTAAGGAAACTGCCAGTTTTACAAAGTAGTTGTACCATTTTATATTTCCACCAGCAGCATTTAAAGTTTTCAGTTGCTATTTTGGAGTCACTTTTACATGCATAGGCTGTAACTTTTGGGGGGTACAAGAAGAGGCAGGTTTTCTTCTCAGAACTTTAGGTAAACATCTCTTTGAAGAATTTATAAAAATCTGGAGCTCTTTTCAGTAAGATATGATCACTGCATTAGTCCTTTTTTTCCTTAGTATGAGAAATGGAAGAAAATGTTCTTAACTTTGGGTTTCATAAAAAGGGGAAAGAAACATATTTGGAGAGTGGTTTTCTGAGTGAGTGATAATATACGACAGGTCTCCTAATAACATTGTTTCATTCAACATCATTTAATTGTAAAGTTGATGAGATACTGTTTATATCAGTGAATCAGTGGTAAAATTGGTTTTATGATATTTCACTTAAAGTTATAGAATATCGATGCTGTTAAGTGAGGACTTACTGTACCACGAATCAGACATTAGTTTTATAGCATTTAATATAATTATGTATAGACTTAATAGAAGTAACTCTGTAAATCTCATCTTATAAAATAGATTATATATAAGAATTTTCTTTGAAAAATCCCCTAAGTCATCCATAAGTTACAGTGTTTAGACTTAACATCTCTCCCTAATTTCAACACAGTTGTTATTTTTGCCTCCAGCATTAGAAGAAATCACTGTTTATTTGCTTGCCCCAATGAAGTGGTTAGCTTGCATTTAGGGGCTATGTCTAATGAAAAATATGCAATTTGAAATACTAGAATTCCATTCAGCTTGATGTGAAGGTGTGTGGGAACTGATATAAGATGAGGAGCATACTCACTCATGGTCATAAACATACATTTTATTGAGAGGATTGGTGAGAGAATGGCCTATATCATTTAAATTATCTTCTTTTTGCTGTTATAAATAGTCACATTATCATAAATTAAATATACATATGACGTTACTGCATTATAATATAATTATGGTAATAGCTGAAGCTGAAAGCAAATAGAGACAATGTACTTATTAAGAGTAAGGTGGCTGATAGGAATGTTTATTAAGTCCATGTCCATGGACCCTTTATAGTTTACCCTAGGAGATTAGGAAGGATAGGTATCCATCAGCACCTATTCAATACTTCTTTCCTTCCTTTTTCTGTTCTACCTAGATTGTCTATTTTCTTCTCTCTTTGCTCGTGTTGTATTTACTTCTTTGTTATGTCCCCAGCTCCTTGGTGTTGTCTCATCTCTTTAGTTTTCTCTTTAGAATGCTACCAAAACCCATAAATATAAATCAGTGGTACAATGATATTTTGTAGCTTTGTTGTGGATGTAAGATAAACTACAAAATGATTCTGGAAATGATTGTCTACTTTCATGAACTGTTTACCAACATTCCAAATACTTCTGCATAAAACATTTAAAAAATGCTTTAGTTGACTAACTTGTAAAATGCATTGTTTGTTTTTCATATTTTGCTAAGAACTAGAAATGTGGATTTCTTTCACTAGCTGAAGTAATCAAGAACTGATCAGACAGTGTGGCATAGTGTTGCAGGGCTCCAGCCTCAGCTTTATCATTAACCCACTTTGTAATCCTGGGCAAGTTACATTTCTCATCTGTAAAATGTGGCGGGGTGGACTTGATGATTTTGAAATCTATGAAGATTTCCCTCTGGGGCTTGGAAAGCAAACTTGTAAAAGTTGTTTTTTAAAAACATTTTTATCTTGTTATATAAGTTGTCTGTGAAAGTTGTTGGCTTTACTGGAAATGATGTATAATCATTTTTGAATTTGTGTATATTTCATTTGTTGCAGGATGCTTTAATCTGGATCCCAATAGAGTTTTGGATGTCATTTTAGAAGTGTTTGAATGCAGGCCAGAACACGATGACTTCTTTATATCTTTATTAGAATCTTACATGAGTATGTGTGAACCGCAAACACTGTGTCATATTCTTGGGTTCAAATTCAAGTTTTACCAGGTAAAAAAAAAATGTGTGTATAACTCTATCTAGGTTAATTTCATGATTTTATATGTACAATTTAATTTGAATTTGAATTATAAATAATTGGTTTCAGTTTAGCCATTCTAGCAGAGATAGATAAATGGATAGCTAACAGTGTGATGCAATAAATAATAATATGATGTGATTGGTAGTTTGAATGATGTGATGTGAAAGCCTAGAAGAAAGCGTAATAAATTTTTGTCCTGGGAGAGATGAAATCAGGGAAGACTTTATAGATAGAACCTTTTTTAAACCTGGTTCTTGAAGGATGAGTAGGAGTAACAAATAGTGTGAGAGTGAAGATGTGACAACATGAATGTACATAACAGATTGAAGAAATAGTACATAGTCTAATGTGGCTGGATTGTAAGATGTGGAGAAAAGAAGGGACAGGAAGTGAAATTGGAAAGGTAGGTGTACTTTTGATTGTCAGAGGCCTTGAATACTGTGTTGAGTTATAATTTTATTGTATAGACAGTCACCATTGGAAATTTTTATGGATGTGAATAAATTCTTGAGGCATATCTTACATCTTTCACTTAAATCACTACAATAGTTATCTAGCCCTGCAATTATTTCTCTTTCAATCCATCTTTCATATTATTACTACTGTTATATTCTAAAAGAGATCTAATTGACACAGTGCTCAAAGCCTTTGCCTGCAGGATGAAATTCAAATTTCTAAACATGACAAAAAAGACTCTTCACAGTCTAGCCCCATTCTTTATTTCCACCGTCATCTTTAGCAATTTTCCCTCTCAAATCTAATAGAAGTAAGTTTATTAACATGTTGGTATACTTTTTTTTGAAATATTAATTTATATTACAATATCATGAACATTCATTCACTCCTAAATACATTAGTTTCTACTTTTTAAAAGGTTATTTTTTCTATTTAACTGTGATACCAATTTTATACCTCACTAGATTGCTATCATATAATAAACTCAGACCATATTCAGATTTCCCAAATTGCTTCCCAAATGCATTTTACAACTGGTTTGTTCAAATGATGATCCAGGCAAAGACCACACATTGTATTTGATTGTTAGGATTCTGCAATCTCTTTTAATTTAGAATAGTATCCCCCATCCTTTAATAGCATTTTGACTTGTTGAAGAGACCATTCCCATACAAGACCCCACCTTTTGGATTTATTTACTTGCTTTTTCAGGGTTGGTTTAGTTTGTTCTTTGTTCCCTGTTTTCCTTATATACTTGGAGTTGGTTCTAAAGATTTGATTTGACTATGTTCAGGTAAAATATTTAATTGGAAAAATACTTCATAGTTTGTTCTTTGTCTTTTATATTGTATAACATCCACTGTCTCTCTGGCTTTTAATATTCCAGTAAGTTGATGACAGGCTAATCCCTCCATTATACAAAGACATTTCCTTTCTTGTCAGTAGCAGGTTGTTTGCGGGTTGATACTTTGGCACCATGTGGATACCCACTTTTTCATCAGCTTTACATTGTGGTTTAGAATATATGGATGATCTTTCCTGAGTCAGTCATTTCTTTAATAAAGTTTCAAATTGTTAATTTGCTAATTTTATCATGCATTCTACATTTATTATCTGTTATTCTTCTATAAAGACGAGTTTTTCCTTATCAACTTGGGTTGCTTGATTACCCTGAAGTACAGTTTCTACTGGAAAGGCAGGACAAATGCTTTAATTATTTTCCCTATTAATTATTAGCTATTAAAGAGTTTCTTTAGTAGCCACCTCTAATGGTGATATGAGGGGTGTGTGTGAGAGAGACAAAAGAATAAAAAAAATGTGCACTTGCATTTTGACTTAGGTTTTTAAAGAATTAATGTGATTATGATAGCAGTGGAAGTTGATGAGATTCTAAATATATTTTGAAGGTAGCGCCGGTAGTATTTACTGATACATTAGATACAGAATGTGAGAAAGTAGAGTTAAGGACTTTTTTTTGGACTGAGCAGCTATAAAAAGGTGGTGTTATCAACTGAGATAGAGCAAATTTTTAGGTGAAATGGAGTTGGAGTGTTGAGGGTAGGAATTAAGTTTTAGAAATGTTAAGTTCGAGATGCCTGTTAGATATTCAAGTGGAGATGTTGAGTAAATAATAGAATGTATAGATCTGGTATTTCAGAGAAAGGATGATATCAAAAGCATGTAGACAGTATTTAAAGTTGTGATAGCAGATGAAATCATCAAGAGTTGGCTATAGAGAGACAAGAGAAGAGATCTAAGAGCCGAGCCTTGGGGCACTGTTAAAGGGCCTTGGAGGAGAGGAAGAACCAGCAAAGGAGATATGGAAAGAACATATAAGGTAAGAGGAAAACAAAGAGAATATGGAATCTTGGAGGTTCAGTGGAAGAAGGAATGATCAACTCTGTTAAATGCCTCTTGTAGGTCATTTAAGATGAGGACTAAAAAGTAATCGTCGGATTTATCAGCAGAGAGGTCAAAACTAGCCATTTTGGTAGAGTTGGGGTAGTGTTAAGAGAGAATGGGGAGGGTGGAGTTGGAGATAGTGAGAATAGACAGCTCTATAAAGGAGTTGCTACAAAGAGACACAGACAGTGGGGTGGTAGCTGGTAGGGGAAGTGAGCTAGAGAGACTTTTTTTTTGAAGATGGGTGAGAGAACACATTTGTATGCTAATTAGAATGATTGCATATAAAGGAGGAAAACTGGTGATGAAGGAGTAGACGAGTAGGAAAGAGATTGGAGTTTATGGCATAAGTGGATGGTTTGACTTTATTTTTATTAATTTTTTTTTTTTACAACAGAAAAGAATAGCTTTATTTAGAAGGGAAAGTAAAACAACAGAACACTTCCAGATGTGGAAGCGGGCCTGACCAAAAGAAGAGCAGCTCAAAAGGTTCAAGGGCTCCGATGGTTTGACTTTAAATAGGAGCATAGAGAATTCATCTATGATAGCTGGTGGAAAGGTAGCATATGTAGGTGTAGTTGGTAGGTGGGTAGATATGATAGTGAGAGTTTATAGAAGTCCTATTGATTGCTCCAGTTTTCTCACTGAAATAGAAAGCAAGGCTTTCAACTGAGAGAGAGAATGAGAGAGGAGGTATTGGAGGTTAGGAGAGAAAGTAGGAAATAGTTGTATAGGAGAATGGAAGAGTGAATGGATAAGAGAAATAGAGTGTGATTGGCCAGCAGCATTAAGGAGCCTTTGAGGGTAGATATGTGAAATTGGCATTTTGGAGGGGTTGTAGCTATTTGTAATATTAAAACTTAGGATATGGAGTGAATGGCTGAGATAGGGTAGAAGAGCAGATCTTTGGAAGCATCATTTACCTGTATATGAAAATCTCCAAAAACTAAGAAAGGAATAGAGTTGGAGAGAGTGACAGTGAATCAGAATGGCAGTGTTAAATGAAGAGCAATGATTCAGGGGTCCATAGATGGCAGCAATAGGACATCACTGAAAATGGCAGAGTAGGGAACTCCAGAGCTCTGTTTCTTCATAAAAGTAACCAGTGAGCTGGCAAAAACTGTCAACCAACTTTTACAGAACTCTCGAATTTAGTAAAAACCTTGCAACCGAGGAAAGCCTTGGCAAAGAAAGAACTGTTGTTTTGGGATAAGGGCACAGTGACATTTTAAATTCCCTGCCTACTATCCATCACACCCAGATCGATGGTGGCTGTAAAGATAGAAACCCACACTCCTAGTGCAGATTGCTAATGCAAGAGGATACAAAGAATTGTTCTTAAAGAATTGTGGGTCTCAACCTATCTGGCTGTTCCCTGGAGGACTGGTGCAAGAGCTTATATTTGTTTTGCTTGACTGGGAGCATCCCCAGGGCTGTAGTGGCTTTTTCCCAAAGCATTTAAAGGCACAGCTATGGACTTTAGCAGCCTGGAGCAAGAGACAACAGTTGGACAAACAATAGAGAGACCGAAAGCCTGGGAAGAAATAAGTTGAATAAGGAGATATGTGGGGGAATAATGGCTTTTGAAAAGCTGATGCATATACCAGAAAACTGGGGAAAAAAGGCTATGTACATGCCCAGAACTGGATGCATACTCAGAAAAAGACTGAGAAGATCCTAAACTTTTCCTCTGGCTGGCCTTCCGGCTCTGCACAAGCAGGAAGTGAAGACTAAGGCAGAGTTGAAAAATGGCCTGGCCAAGTGTTGAGGAGTGCCCTAACACAGAACCAGTGTGTGAAGAGTAGGAGAGTATTTTTTTCTTTTTCTCCCCTCCCTTTTGGCTTCAGGCTTCTAAGAATACTTAAAACATTAGTTGACTACTAAGCTAACAGAACGCAGATTTCAGTGGCGATAATGACAATGTAGACTTCACAAAATGAGCTTAGACCAGTCACTAAAGAAGCAAACACCAATAACCTACAATAAGCAGCATCAACAAACCATGGAGGAGGGTGCAGAGTCTGATTTTCAGAGTTGCTGCATAATATTCAAAATGTCCAGTTTTCAACAGGAAATAATGAGGTATGTAAAGAAACAAAATATGGCTCATCACAAGAAAAAAGAAATTAATAGAAACTATCCCTGAGGAAACCCAGGCAATGGATTTACTGGATAAATAATTTAAATAAATAGTCCTAAATATGCTTATGATCTATAGGAAACCATGGACAAAGAACTAAAACCAGGGAGACACTGTCTCACCAGACAGAGAATATCAGTAAATAAATAGAAATTATAAAAAAGGAACTAAACAAATTATGGAGTATAAAAGTACATTAACTGAAATGAAAAATTCAGTACAGAAGTACAACAGGAAATTTGAGAAGGCTGAAGAAACAGTCAGGCCAACTTGATTAGTCAATTGAGGTTATCCAGTCTGAGCAGAAAGATGAAAAAATGAAGAAAAATGTACAGAACCTATGAGACCTATAGGACACCATGAAGAGTATCCGCATGTGCATTATGGAGTCCCAGAGGCAGAGGAGAGAGAGGAAGGGATAGAAAGCATATTTGAAAAAATAATGGTTGAAAACTTCCCCAATTTGGTGAAAGATAGGAATCTACGCATCTAAGAAGCTTCACAGACACCAAGCAGGATAAATTCAAAAGAGATCCACACTGAGATATATTATAATCAAATTGTTGGAAGCCAAAGACAAAGAATCTTGAAAGCAGCAAAACAGGTGTGACCCATTGCATACAAGAGATCTTCAATGAGATTAACAGCTGAGTTCAGAAGGCAGTGGAATGACATATAAAGTGTTGAAAGACTAAGACCGTCAACCAAGAATTCTATATCAAGCAAAACTATCTTTCAAAAACAAGAGATCATGATATTCCAAGATAAACAAAAGCTGGGGGAGTTCATTGCTAGTGGACCTGCCCTATGAAATACTGAAAGGAGTCTTGGCTGAAATGAAAAGACAATAGACAGTAACTTGACGCCATATGAAGAAATAAAGAACACCGGTAAAGGTAACCATATAGGTACCTATAAAAGCCAATATTATTGGAATTTTTGGTTTGTAGCCCCTCCCCATATGATTTGAAAGACAAAGGAATAAAACAGCAATTATAAAGCCAATTAGCACACAATGTATAACGATAAAAGGGAGGGATAGAGATGTATTGGTGCAGAGTTTTTGTATATTATTGAAGCTAAGTTGGTATTAATTCAGACTACATTATTATAAGTTTAAAATGTTAATAGTAATGATACTCAAGGTGACCACTAAGAAAATAAACAGAAAAGGAAAAGGAAATCAAAATGGTACACTACCAACAAAATTAAACACAAAAGAAGGCAGTAATGGAGGAAGTGATATAAGACATAGAAAGCAAATAGCTAAACAACAGAAGTCCTTCCTTGTCAGTAATTACATTAAATGTAAATGGATTGAACTTTGTAATTAAAAGGGAGAGTTCAGCAGAATGTAAAAAAGCATGATTCAACTATATGCTATCTATAAGAGACTCACTTTAGATCAAAAGATAAAATATGTTGATAGTGAAGGTATAGAAACAGATGTCTCATGCAAATAGTATCCAGGAGAGAGCTAGGGTGACTATTCTAATATCAGACTAAAAAATAAAATGTATTTTATGTAAAAATAAAATATTTTACAATAGACAACAAAGGACATTATATATTGATAAAAGGGTCAACCCATCAAAAAGATAGTAGTTATAAACACATATGCACCAAACAGAGCCTCAAAATATGTGATGTAAGCATTAATATAATTGAAGGGAGAAATAGACAGTTCTCCAATAATTCTTGGACATTTCTATACCCCACTCTCATTAATGGCTAGACAAACTAGACAGAAGATTAAGAAGGAAATAGCGGACTTGAGCAGCACTACAAACCAATTAGACTAATAGACAAATAGAACACCCCATCCAACAATAATAGATTATACATTCTTCTCAAGTGCACATGGAACATCTCTAGGATAGACTCTATTATAGACCACAAACAAGTCTCAATAAATTTAAAACATTGAAATCATACAACTTATCTTCTTTGACTACAATTGAAAATAGATCGCAGCAATAGTGAAGGATAGTAAATGATAGGAAATTAAAAGCTGGGTGGACTTTAGAGAGGGTAGAAGGAGAATCTTCTGAAAACAACTATAAAAAGCAAAAGATGACTTTTACCCCACCTCTAGGTCCGGGGAAAATAGCCACCACTCGACTGGGTTACAGTAGGTTTGGTGTTCCTAGGGAGTGCCAGGCTCTGAACAGAAGGTGGAAGGAACATTTAGAAGAGAGGTAGGGGGTTTTGCTGAGGATGGATCATGAATTTTAGAGGATTCCATGGAAGTTTTTTGAGAATGTAGAAATGTGAATGGGACAAAGTGGGGATCGTGCAGAGCAATATGAGGATTAGATTGTGGGAGCTGATGTTTGGCGTGGGAGTCAGAGATTCTTGTGGTGACGTATTTAAATAGAGATAATGGGAATAACGAGAGCATTCCTGGTAGATTTATGTCAGGTAGTTAGCTTTTGTGAGTTTGCTCTGAAACCCTGACCACCTTTTTTTTTTTTTAATGGGAAAATGTTTTGATATTAAATAACCATTTATAAACATTTAGAATTAAACTACTGTTGAAGACTTAACTGTCTTAAAAATTACAGTGAAATAGTGCCTTTTTACATGATGTCTATTAGTTTGGTTAGCTTCACATGTTAAGTGCATGATACCTATCACAATTGTGGGGAGATCTCATTTTTAGTGTTGAGTAGAAGCTTAACACAATGTATTGTCACCATTTGCTTTTTATTTGTATTTGACTATTTAGTAGTTGTCAGTTGTCCTTACTTTACTCTTCCATTCATCTGACCCCAAGCAATTTAAAAATTAGGGAATTGTTCTTGATAGTATTCAAAGATCCTTCTGTTTCTTTGTAGGGTCCATGGGGCTGACCTGGAATTGGCCATTCCATGTTTTAAACTGTTGATTTATTCATGTGTAATATGTATATATATAGACCTGTTTTGAAGGGGAAATCAGCTGACAAGCACATATACTTAGCACAAAATCCAAGGATTAAAAGACTAGGGAGAATAGTATAAAGCAGACACAGATGGTTCTGCACTTCCAAATTTGTCAGTCTTGTCTATCTGCATTTCCACTGCAGATAGACAAGAACTACTTGGAAAAAATAACCAAACAAACAAGAAAATACACACGTAAACAGAAATCTAAACTAAATATTATGCAATATAAAATCTTCCTTATTCTATTCAATTTTTAGATTTATTCAGACATTAGCATGCATTGTAAAATGTGTCATTTTTGAAACTCCTTTCCTTGTGTTTATTAGAAGATGTCCCAATGTGAAAAAGGATGTTGACATAATTGCCTTTGCCCTAAATTCAGATGTTATGTATGTTCAAGAAGAGCAGTGAAGCTTATTGTTGAGCAAAGAGTTATGTGATCTAGTTGTTCTTAAATATTGGTAGATAAAGGATATGATTTTAGTTGTACTTTATGCACTAACTAGAAACTTTTCTTTTTGTTTTTCAAGGAACCAAATGGAGAGACTCCTTCATCTTTATACCGAGTTGCAGCAGTACTTCTACAATTTAATCTTATTGATTTAGATGATCTTTATGTACATGTAAGTCAAGTGGGCTGCTAAGAATATTTGGTTGTCAATCCCAAGGGTGAGGGAGAAGAGTAGGCAGTCACACAGCACTCCAAGGTTGGTCCTAGGCTCTCAAGTCTTAATTTTTTTAATTTTTAATTTTTTCAATTAGTGTTGACATTCAATAATATATTAGTTTCAGGTGGATAGCATAGTGGTTAGACATTTATATAATTTACAAAGTGGACCCCCCTCCCAATTAGTCTAGTACCTACCTGGCACTATACATAGTTATTACAATATTATTTTCAAATCTTAATTTTTGAAGCCCTAATGCATTATTACTTTGTATTTACTTTATAAGGTGAATGAATTTCTTTTATAGACTATTAGCAATCAAATATTTTTTTGTCACCTTCACAGAGTTCAAGGTTGGGTATGAAGTTAATGTTCTTAATTGTCATCAAGGCCTATCTTATGGGGAGAGAGGCCAAATTCTAACCAGTGTGGTTTTAGATTTCTCTGTTATACAAATTATGGGAAATACAAGGTTACTTAAATACTTCTTCCTTCCCCTCAAAATATTAATTTTAGATATTTAGGATGAATGGGGAAATCTTTATTTATTTTTTAAATGGTTTTGTGTTTTTACTGGATAATAAATGACTAGTGTTGTGCTTTTATTGATGGATCCAGGATCTAGAAGAGTGTATATGTGATTGTGATTGATAACCTCTAATGTAGTAACAGTTTAGCCTATCAGTTTGAAAAAACTAGGTTCATAGTATAGAAATTTCTGTTTTATTAGGTTGTGCATTGGGATATCTATGAATTTAAACCCGTCTAAAACTGACATCATCTTCACTGCCTTTGAGATCACTTTCTAACTTCCTTGCCTATCAGTATGTACTGTGGTAACATAGTTGAGTAAAACTTTATCTTGGAAGCAGTCATAGATAGTCTAGCAAGGGAGAAAATATTTGCATTGTATAATAATAACTGTATTGGCAGTATTCACATTGTGCTGTAGGGACTCAGAATAGATAGTGATCATTTCCGTCTGGGGGGATTTTGGAAGGCTTTTTTCAAAGTAGTGATGTTGAAATGGGATTTGATAGATGAGTAGGTGTTGGCCATGCTTAAAAGGTGGGAGCATTGTAGGCAGAATTAACTGAGTATAAAGGTAGCAGGTTTGAAAGGGCTTCATTATCACCTTAGGGGAACATCAGGAAGCTCAGAGTGGTTGGAGCCTAGGTATGCAGGGGAGATGAGGTTGGAGAAGTAGGTTGGGGCTAAACTGTGAAGGGCCTTAAGTGCCATAGTAAAGAGTTTGGATTTTTTTCTTGTTGGGAGTGGACAGCCATTCAAGATTTAAAGTAGAGAAGTGATGTACAAAATGAGAACATGGAAAATTGGTCAGAAAAAGGTGAATTTGAAGACATAGGTATGAATTTATGGTGTAGATTGAGAGGACAAATGGAAAGTACAGAAATAATGATAGATTTATTCCTGATATGTTTGTAACAATAAATGCAGGTGGACTAAATGTACCTGTTAAGGTGATAAAGATTTTCAGACAGAATTCAAAACCCGTTTATTGTTTGCATGACACTTCTAAAACCCAAGAAAAGTTGAAAGTAAAAGGATGGGGAAAATATACCAGGGGAATTATTATTGTTAGACAGAATAGACTTTTTGGAAGAAGAGATAGTCACTTCCTAATAATAAAATTGTGTTCACTAAGAAGGTGTAACAGTTGTAGCTTTATATTATACACCTAATAACATATTTTCAAAATACACAAAACTAGAAATTGAGAGAACTGTAAGAAAAAACTTATAGTTCACCCATTGTAATGGGAGATTTTAGAGGCAATTGCAATAGTCTAGGTAAAATATGAGGACTTATGACAGATAAATAAAGCAAGAAAAATGGGTTTGATTGCCAGTGGAGAGCATAAAGAATGAGAAAGTCTTGCTTACCTTCTTGCATCAGTCCATGGTGACTTTTCTTCCACCACCCCCCCTTTTTTTGACGAATGCGATGAAGTCTACAATATGTAGTTTAATATTTCACTGTTTCCGTTTATTGTTTACTTTGCATTAGACTTAGCTACTGAAGTAGATTATGCATTTCTAGGGGCAGGAACATTTCTTTTATAGCTCACCATAGTGCCTAGCTGAAACTATAAAAATAGTTTGTTGGCTGTATTTTTCTTTGTGTCTGGGTTATTTTATGAAATGTCTACATTAACCATGTTCCACTTACACAAGATGTCTGTATTTGAGATAATTGATCCTTTTTCATAATGGAGGGCTGACTATACACATACTGCTCTTTCTTTTGTAATAAACTACAGACTAGTTTGTGACTAAAGTCAAATAGGTATCTAGAAAATGAAAAGTGAGATGTCAAGTTCATAATTTTTCTACTTGAGATTTTTCATTTAAAGGAATCAAATTTACCTCTTTATGTAATTCAGTAGCTCACCAGGTACACATTTTCTTGAGTAAACTAATAAATTAAGTGGTAAACATCACTGTTGTGGTATTATATTAATTTAGGGCCTCTAACAGGAGATATATTACCTAATTTTGAATGGTGACAAAATTCAGGTACTTAATCCTGTCAGATTTTATGAGAACAATGGAGAGAAACTTATTTAGAAGAGAAATCATGGTCATGATGTTTTTAAATATTCCACCCCGCCCCCCCCCCACTTCCACCCCTGACCTACGGATGCTGCCGTCTCCCCTTAAGAACTGGATCTCTGAAGGCAGGGCGTCTCCTCCCACGCGCTCATGGTGCACACCTGGGGCCTGGCACACACAGGGGGCCTGGCGCACCCGGGGCCTGGTCCGTGGCTCTGCTGGGGCTTGAACCCAGGACCTTTTGTGTGTAAAGCAGATATGCTAACCACTACTCTATGGAACCACCTCTAACCACTACTCTATGGAACCACCCCATCTAGACTTCTTATTTACAGTTTTATCAATTGATAGTAGTGTTTGCTTTTCATATGTGTGAATGGTATTAGCTGTTTTATGAAATTTTAATAAACCATTTTTAGCTTCTTCCAGCTGATAACTGCATTATGGATGAACACAAACGAGAACTTGTGGAAGCTAAGCAAATTGTTAGAAAACTTACAATGGTTGTATTGTCTTCTGAAAAAATTGATGAGCGAGAGAAGGAAAAGGAAAAAGAAGAGGAGAAAGTAGAAAAGGTATATGATTCATTCTAATAAAATTAACATTGTTTCCTGGATTTAGAATTATGAAATTTAACTTGTAATGGTTAATCAATTTATGGGAGAAGAATTTCTTAATTTCAATTGCAGTGAAACCTGGTTTTTGGAATACTAATTTACAAAGGGCAGATTTTGTTTTTAATTTGATTGGCACCTTCCCAAAAGAGGCTACCATGTTTTTTTCTTAGATAAATTTCAAAATGTATTCTAAATAAAATCACCAATGTATTGACTATATTCGTGCTCTGCATATTAACGTCTCTCAGGTTCTAAAGGGATTCTCAAAGATGAATGAATTCTAGTTCTCTGTGGCCCAATAAAACATTAAGTACAACTTAATATAATTCCAAGTTTGTAAATTGTCACATAATGTCTGCAAAAAGAAAAGACAGATTCCGTTGTTTTTTTTTCTTCAATAGCTAAAACTTTATTGTACTTTGAGGAAAATACTGTTGCATTTTCCATGAATGGCAGTGCTTGTTGACATACATTGTTTTGTTGTTTAGTTCAGTTTTTTTTAATGAAAAAATGTTAAGATTTATTGGTGTCTGCATTATGAATATCTTTGCTATAATTGTTCATTTTTAGCCACCTGACAACCAAAAACTTGGTTTGTTGGAAGCCTTATTAAAGATTGGTGATTGGCAGCATGCACAGAACATTATGGATCAGATGCCTCCATATTATGCAGCTTCACATAAGCTAATAGCCCTTGCTATTTGCAAGCTCATTCACATAACTATTGAGCCTCTCTACCGAAGGTATGTTACTTTATGCTTTACTAATCATTAAGGTAGAAGTAGTTCAGGACTACAAGAAAAGCCTGCATATTTATGTTGTCTCCTCAAACCACGCATATATTTTAGTATGTTTTACTAGAAAGTAAGAATTACTCAAGAGTGTATCAGTCTGATATGTGTTAATCCGTGATTTGTTGCCTAACAACTAGACCAGATGTTGGAGAATGTGTGCTGCAGTGTAGTCTAAAGATTATAGCTTAGACTTCTAGGTTGAGTTTGCTCCATTGAGAGTGAAAACTCCATTCTTCTGGTTTTTACTTTTCCTCCTCTCTTGGGGGCAGAGAATTCTTAAGGTTTTTACTTAGTGTAATTTTCCTCTATTCCACGTTGAGTGGCTCTGAGTAAGGACATTGCTTCCTGCTTATCTCATCTCTCCTGGCTTTTAGCCTGCCGTTCTGGAAATTGCTAATGCAGCTGCTCTCATCATCCCTAGTTACTGTGTTGGCCAGTACTCTAGCCCTCAGCCTACTTTCAGGATACTTAGGAGCAGTATTGGTAGCAGCTCTGGCATCAGCCCCATACATCACAGTCTGCCTCAAAAGCACCAGCCTTGTAACTCGTGCTTAGCTGCTGGCTGCTGCCTCTAGTGCCACCTAGGCTGTGGACCACAAAGGCTTCT